TCTCTGTGGGGTAACTTCTGCTGCTGGTCCAGTGACTTGCGTGCTCTCTCACGTGTTTTCTCTCTCTGCCTGTATATGTGCAGTTGCAGTTGGTAATATGCAAATCTTCGTAAATTCCACGCTCACACAATACTTTGCTGACAGCAGAATGTTTGTCAGACCTGGATTTAAGGTGTTTTGAACTATGTTAAAGCATCAGTGGAGTTAGATGTGTCAGGGAGAGGTGCTGTGACTCTTATCTGTCTTTTTTGTTTCCTGGCCTTTCACTTCATGACTTGCTCTGTGATTATAATATCTAACCTGAAAATTATACAGACCTAGTTTTCTGCAGTTAAAGTATGTTCCTAGACAAAGTCGAAACAACAAAGCCAGTACAGATTCTTGAAACAGTTGAGACATGGAGATATTATAGAGACCTGAACGTTGTACTTCCAGTCCAGCTCAGCGATGAGTGAAAATAAAGTGCTGGTAACCCTCTCAGTCCCATGAAGCAGTAGGATGCCTAAAAAACTGGATTTGGTGGGTCTTCTTGCTCATTCCAGCTCTGTAGCACATACCTGTATGGATAGGGAATAAGAAAAATCTATCAGAAGGCCTCTTAAGGTGATATAATGAAGAATTAAGAAATCTGTTGAGGTTGATTTATGCAGTAGATTAAAACCAAGAATCAAACCTGGAAAGATGCAAAAGGAGGCACCAAGGAGACCAATATACTGTGATATTGGTTTCAAAAAGGGCAAGATTTCCTAATTGCTGAGGAAGATCAATTATTGATGGTGCAAAATTCTTTAGACTTGATATTTTGGCAGAAAGACAATGTTCCAATAAATAGGGCTAAAATAAAATGTCTAGATGTTTGCTTGGAATAATAAATTTTATAATATTCACTCCCATGTAAGACTGGAGATTTAAGATCTCATAAAGAAAAGTTTTGACTAACAGAGACCATGATTAGAGTGGAAAACCTTGAGAGAGAACTTCACTGTTTCCAGTGTACTAAATGTGTTCCAAAATGAAGTAGAAAAATAAATTTGCTTAGGCTGGATTCTGTGACACAGTGATAAATCTTTACCTGAAATAAACATCCACCTCCCTGCTGGTAGAGGACACTTTTACAGTGAAGGGAAATTAATTTTGGCAAAGGACTCTGTCAATAATTATGGCATCAGCCCACGTACCTCTGACAGAATCGTAAATATGGTGAAAAGACTGGGGCTTATGGTTAAAGATGATCAACTGCAATCAAATCGTTGCAGTTTCTGTAGTAAAAGAGAAAGAGTAGGTGAAAGGAGAAAAATTATGTCTACAAAGGAAAATGATGTGGCAAAATGAGAGCATGAAGAGGCAGGATTAGGGATTTTTTTATACTTAATGTTGATGGTTTTAGAGGTTTCAAGTATGCTGCACGGGCTACAGCTGACAGCGCAGTAAGTGACACTACAGCATTTAGCACTAAAATTATTGTTACTTTTGACTACTTTTCTACCAAGATTAAAAAAACCCAGACAATTATGGGAATTTTTAACTTAATCTAAATACTGCATGAGATCCACACTTGTTTTGAAAAAAATGTTGCACTTTCCATCTGGCCGCATTCAACACCAGTATCAGTCACATTAGCAACAATCATTGGACAGATATTCAGGGCTCCTCCAAATGTGTGGAAGTGGCTGATGTGCTGTTTCCGTAGCTTACATATATTTGGTAGTTAAAACATACACCGTTACAAATATAAAGCATTAAATTTTTCTTAGGTTAAGAATTATGAAAGATATGCTTCTTGTAAATAGCAATTTCATAAATTAGGTGAATTAATTTACTTGTTCTTCCTTCTCATTTTCCTTCCACTGTTCAGTATCTCCATAGCAGAGCAAGTCTGAAATAAACTGTCTGCATCGTACTTTGACTCAAATGAGATCGAAGTGGCAGATACAATTTCCTTCTGTTTTCACAGAAAACCAAGTTACAACGTAAAGGTTCACCTGCTCCCCTGGTTGAAAAGTAAAAGTCAGCTGTAGGATTTATTTTCCTGCAGAAAATATTTCATTGTTATTGCTATTGAAAGCTAAAATATAAAGAAAAGTAACTTTTCTTTATTCAGTGCTCAAATTCTGGAGGCCACATAGTTAGTTCTAATTTAAAAACAGTCAAAAAGTTGTTCAATTAAACAACTAAAAAGTTATTCAGTCTTATGAATAATGCGAACAATCTTTTGCATGGTAGTTGGCTTTTAATTTGTGGATCAGAAAGACATTTCTGAGAAGGGCTGTATTTCTCCAGCAAAATATTAGGGTACAACCCCAACCTAAAAGAAAAATACAGATTTGTCTGACCTATACCTAGCAGCTTAGCTTTTAAATTTAATGGAAATGTTCCACTACAGCTACTCCAATGGGATCAAGAAGATGTGAGAACAGGAAATATTAGTGTTTCAATAGGTATTAATAAATGCATTTGAGAGAACACGAATGTGTTTTGGAAGAAAAATGTTAAATTTTTGAGAAACCAAGTGGTTATAATTATATTAGCACATCTGTGACCATCTGCTCTACCAGATAATTCACTTCCAAAGACATGGTCCTAAGAGGCTATCAGAGTTAGCTGAAGTCCCAATCAGCAAGGACTGTGAAGGAGCATGGAATGTTTCCACCATGAACATTAAGCTTTAGAAATAGATTCAGACCATTGCTTTTCAGCCCAGGATTTTCATTTACTGCTGCACACGGAAAAAGGGGTGGGAGAAAGATGTCAGTCAAGGATAGTGATCAGATCTTATGTTAAAGATTATTTCCAGTACTACATTAGTGTCAAAAACAGGTGAATGACCCAGTGTTAGTCCCATCCACATCAGTCTCTCATTGTGCATCTAAATTAGAGAAGTAAATTCTATGAGGCTCCTCAGGCAAGGGTCAGGTGTGCCCCATCTCTCCCTGCTCTGTCCTGCAGGAGTGGAGCCTGGGGATGTCTCTGGAGAAAGCTGCACCACTTTCTGGGCAGGTCCTGGAGCAGGTGCTGGGGTGCCCCTACCTGACCCTCAGCTTTCAAAAGCTGAGCAGCCCCTCCGTGATGCTCTCTTTGTTGAGAGGCTGGGTCTTTTCTTTTCCCTTTAGTCAGCATGACTTCTAGATCTTTGAAGAGGGGCTTTTGTTTCATTTTGACTTTTTTAATGGAAGCATCTGTCAATTGTTTGGGTGGTCCTATCCATGGTGGTGTGCACAGTGCAAGGATTCTGTAAGTTCAGGACATATATATTCTGGTGCCTGAGAGAGAGTCCAGGTGACAAAAGTGCTTGTGTTGTGTTTGACATTGCAAGGCAGCATTCTTCCTGCATAGTGGGATCTGGAGGGGGAGAGGAGGCTGAAGATACAACTATCTCATCTTTTATGAAAATGCTTTTTCCTTGGAAATCTCATTTCTGTATTGTGACAAAACCTGCCCCTGGGACCAGTGCTGGGAGGAGCAGCAGGGCTTGGCATTGTCTTGTCCTGCGGCTGCAGCATCTATCATCAGATCACGAAACAGGTTTTCTCCCTCTCAGGAAGGTAATTTCTCGTCACAGTCCCTGTTTCAATTACCACTTTGGCTGAGATCAAGGCAATGTCCACCACATACAGAGTAACCATCTATCTAATCCAGACAAAGCAAAGCAGACAGAATGCAACGTCAGATTTGGTTAATTTTCAGTGACCCTCACTTTCGTATTCTGGAATGTGTTCAGCCACCTGTAGGACTGGTTTATACAGAACCACCGCTTTCTTAAAGCTTTTGGTTTTGATTGCATATTACTTTCTGGACTTTATCTTGCATTCTGTAACTCATGTTACTCGGGGGTAGGTCTTTAACCTATTAGATCCCTTTGCTGGAGGGTTACTACTCTTGTCCTTTCCAGCAGTGGAGAGTCCATGTAAATTATTCTTGAATGGTAAATTAAAATGCTGCTTTTTGAAAATGAGGCCCTCTAGGATTTTAGCTTGTGTAATACGTCCTTTTATAGACCATACTCTTAAGGTCACTTGTTTTCTTTATTTCTGTAGTTTCTGCTAATCTTATTATCTCAAGTACTGGGAAAAATGAAGAGAAACTGGAGCTGCGCTTACTTTTTGCATTTTGTTTGTGCCTAGTAATGTAATCAGAATCGGTATCATCGATGCAATGAGTACCATGCAATTGCTCAGGAAAACAGAATAGCTTGTCGGAGGAGGTTGCAATCTAATTTGTATAACTTTCCTCTTTTATGTACCACTGGCACACAGAGGGGGGGAAAGGCTGACAAACAGAGTGTCTTAACCGAGATAAGAGATTAACAACTAGAAGTTTGTCTGCCTAATTTAGCTTCTCTAAAAGCATGAAGCCTTGTGGCAGTAATTATCTTGCAGAGCTATAATCACTCTGATAAATAACATTTTTTTCCTTTTTTTTGCATTTCTATTTACATTTTTCCTACATGTTTGTACTGAGTTGCAACATCTCATAAAACATAAGGCTTTCTTTTGGCAAGTCTCTTACTTTCTGCATAGTTTGGTCACCTAAATTTAAACATATAAGTATTTTTTTTTTAGAATTGAAATGTGATTCTTTGCTGAATTAGTTTGACTTGTATGCAACAGGATAGTGAATGTAATATATTTAATGGAAAAAAAGATCTCTCTTTTTCTTATTTTGCTTTCTTGCTTGCTTCTGTTTTTCCCTATGTGGATATAATTTCAGGTCTTCGGGTTTTACCATTAACAAATTTATGATTGATTTTTTTAATGACAAAAGTCATACAGAAAAATCCTGATTTGTCTTATCACAGAGAAAAGCCAATTTTCCCATGTAGATACTTAATCTTGGATGCTCAAAAATGTAGCTCCCCTCTCTCTCCCGCCCACTCCCGCAAAAAGTTCGGAAATTAGGTTCTAGGAGTGCATTAATAAATATTTTATGCAAAAACTTACAGTCCTACCCCTCTCAGGACTATCCTCTGCCCCAGTTAAATTCTGTTCTTTTATTTATTGCAGGTGGGGAACTCAAGGAGATTTCACCACTACTCACCCTCGGCCTGTTGTCAAAGTAAAACTCTTTACAGAAAGCACCGGGGTGCTGGCACTGGAAGATAAAGAACTGGGAAGAGTGAGTATTATACATAGAAACAAGAAATACGTGAGAAACGATGCGTAGGAATGCGAGTATTGATAAAACATGCCATAAAACGGTGTAAGGTATTCAGTACAGCACCTGGTCTGCTGCAGTTGTGCCAAGCAGTGCCTTTTCTTTTAAAGGGTGGCTTTTCGTAGCTCAAAACATGGTATGTTGACTTGGATTGCCTTTCAGAAACTTCCATCAGGGATCCATGACAGTTCTGTTTGTCTTGTTTAAAACTTTTTTCAATTTCTAGGTGACCTACCGATGCTTGTAGCTATTCAAATTAGGAGCAAAGAGGAGAGAGAGAGAAGACTTGGCATGTAATAAATATAGCGGACAATTGGTGATAGGGAAAAAGGACTTAAGTGATGGAAGGAGGGGGGGAAGGAGTGATGGAGATAATATTGTCAGATTGAAATAAGAGTTCTCACTCTTGTACTGTATGAGCTTTCCTTCCCTTTTCACATTTTCCCTATCTTGACAGGATCACTTATCCTTCGTAGGCCAAAACTATGTTCTAGAGAGTGCAATGTATCATAGAAAGAGGAGGGTAATGTGCAAATCTCATGCTCCCCCCATCTCCTGTTGGAATTCTCCCCTCCGACACGCTAACGCATGGAGGAGGGCTCATGTTTTAACGCTCAGTCATGCTTCTTCTCACAAAGACAACTTCCCAGTAGGGAAGAGCAGGGCTCTTCCCCACTTTGTGTCCTCCAAGTGCAAGCGGCTGCACAAAACCAGTCTCCCACACATTGGGCCACTTGTTAAGGTCAGGACTGTATCCCTAGTGTAAACAGTTCTTACCTCCTCTCATGTCCTTCTAAGAGGCCTCCAAGGTCACTTGGTCAAGGACAGCCAAGCTGAAGGTGGGGTCTTCACAGGGAACATTCCCAGTAGGGGTGGCACAATGGCAGGAGCGAGGCAGGTCTCATGGCCAGATACAGCAAAGGAGCCACGGGGGCACAGCTGAGCAGCCCAGAGTCAGCAATATCTGGATTCAGAAGAATAAAAAGAGACAGTGAAAGGGTGGACTCACAGGAACTGCATAGTGCTATTGAGCACAGAGAAGTTCCTTCTCTGTCTCCGCTTGCTCAGTCCTTTCAAAGAAGCAAAAGGAAAGTCAATGCAAAGGTGCAGGGCAGTGGAAAAGGGACTGCGTGGCCTTTGTGAACAGTAGCCAGCATAGTCATTGCCAGGGAATCGGAGAAGAAAAGAAACATTAACAGAATAAAGGGGCTAAGAATTACAAGTGTTAACAGGATGCAACGTTAAATAGCCAAAGTTCAGGTATAAGCTTGGTCTGCTTTCTTCCACTGCAGCTTGTCCAAGTTTCTAGAACAGGAGGATAAAAGATTTTAAATGCTTTTAGAGAATGGAAACATTTCAAATGTAAAATACTGAATGTAGCTTTTGCCTTAACTGTATCTTATGGCCCCAGATGGTTTGCTTTGTATTTTCTCCCTGTGGCCTCTCCCTTCCCTCTCCTGGCTGCCTTCTGACACATCTCTGTTTGTCAGCTGGCCCAAACCAGTTTAAAGAAGGTAATAACTTTCCTTTCTTGGTTCAGAGTGGTGGAGGGAGAGAGAGAAAATAAAAATAGGTAGTTAAGAGGGGCTAGGGCTGAGCCTACTGCTGTTATTGGATGGAGTCTGACCCAGTTTTCCCAGAGACAAAGCAAGGTATATAAAAGGTGAGGAAAGACAGAGCAATCTCTGCTTTCTGTTGCTGATTCTTACTCTCCCTCAGCAGAGTCTGCATGCTCTTATCAGATGCTCTGAGGTTTGATGGTTTGTACCAGAATTAGGCTATTAAAATCATCACTTTTTGCTGGGTTTTTTCCCCCTTGTCACAAAGGACAAAGGCCATCACCTTTTTTCCCCTTGTATTAACTCTTGTGTTGAGATTGGGCATAGCAAACAGAAGCACCTGAGAGATGCTGGGATTTTATGTTTTATAATCCATTCCTGATTTACCAAAAAATGTCCAGGCCCCATCCTTGCCCAAAAGTACCTTCTGTAAAAGATAAGTCTGTACAAGATAAACCTCCCACAATGACATTAGTAGATGGTCCTTAGCAGTGGAAAAGAACATGAAAAAGGGCATGTCAGCTGTGGAAGCCATCAGCCTGTTTGGGTGTCTGGTCTGTCCTCCTGCATTTCCCAGGTCTGGCAGTGACTGGGGTTGCTGAGAGACACCTTCCAGCTGGTGGAGAAGGGGCAACCTGCCAACCTGTTTGAGTGGTGGTTGCTACCTTCAGGGGAGATTGGGAGAATGCTTGACAGAATTTTTACCAAAAGAAAAAAAAGGGTTTGTGTACATTCACTATATACATTTTAGCTTTCAAAGGCTTCTTTTGTTTTCAATGCCTTCATTTTCAGGTTTGAGAGGTTTAAATTCAGGTGGCCTTTAAAAAATTGCAGGGTCCCACTAGATAAAGTTTAATTCTAACAGAATTTGGCAATTTTATGCCTGGTCAGTACACTGCAGTGACTTGCAGGAGTGCAGCTGATTGAGGTAGGTTTGCCATGCACTGAAAAGGCCTGAAGATACTTCTGCTGGTATTTTTTCTGTACTTAAATATTCAACTCAAACCTGGCCCTTCTGAGGTAGGCTGGCTCTGGACATTAACTCTCCTCTGTTGTGTACTTCTTCAAAGCATGTGTCTTGACCCAAGACCACTTTTCTACATTATTGAAGTTTGCATGTGAAAGTTTTGTCCCGTTTAATCTATAATTAGAAATAGAAGGTGACATCAAGCTACATGATTTGAATTTTGAACTTCCATCACATACCAAAGGGTTTCTTCTGCCACCAAGCGATCAGCTGTTTCTGAAAACAGATCTAAGGTGCAAAATGTGGACCCAGCAAAGGTTTCCCAGAGCCACAGAGGAGAAGGCGTTTCCATTGACCCCATCAGTGCATGGCAGTCTCTCACACTTACAAACTTCATATGTAGGCCCTGATCTCAGCATGATGGCACCGCAGCTCCTTGGTTTAAGGAGAAGGCAATGCTGGTTTCCAGAAGTAACTATGTCATGTTGGAGCAGAAAGGATGCAGGTTCATGCTTTCAGGAGAGAGAGCAGACCATACTTACAGCTTTATTTACTCCCTGTTGGGAAGCAGAAGCTGGGGGCAGCTCAGCCTCTACTGCAGAAGTTACCAGGTGAGCACCAAGAGACAGAAGGGTTGTTGCCTATACTTAACATCTTCTCACTTCAAGGCATTTAAGATATGCTTAACCAACGGGAAGTAGTACTTACTCTGTTGCTAGTCTGGCATTGCTCTGTTCCTCTAAAAAAAAAAAAAAAAACAAAATAAATTCAGTTGTGAATAACAAGAGGAGATTTTGCTTGCTGGGGGATGGGGGATATTCTTCTGGCTCCCTGCTGACTGCTTTGAGTGTCTTCAAACAAAAACCAGATCTTAACCTTTAGTCTCTGTTCTTCACAAACTGGAGGACAGTTGGACAAACTCAGTTTTCCACTGAAATCGAAAATGGAGACAAGTGCTGCACAGGAGGGGAAAGGATGTTGTTTGGATTTGGGTTCTGCAGAACATGAACTTCTGGAGTCGTGCTCTGTCTGTGGTTGTGCAGACCTCTGCATACAGTGAGCCACTGAATTTAACTTCTAGAAAGTGAGGCAGGCTGCATCTTTGAAGCTAATTTTTCTCTAATAAGGAGACATGAAGAACTTACTTTATTCAAATATCTTTGAAATGTGTGGCACAAGTTTTGTGTGACTGACACTGATCTGACTGCTTAAATAATTTTTCTGTGTGTGTATAGAAGGCAGAATTGATGTTTGCATTTGTACGTGCAACTGAGGAAGCATGAAGAAACCTTCAGAGTTTGGAGTAAATACTTCTAAAAAAGCAGCCTGGTGGTATCTGAAACTCAGGGATCTGACATCACTTTTCCTTGTTCAGTACTTTCTGTATGAAGATGTTCAAACCCAGTAATTCAAAGTGACAGCCGTTGTGCTTGCTTAGCACACATGTGAATACAATGTGAGAACAGCAGGTGGTGTTTGAGTGCTGATACTTTTTGAATATAAGAATATTTCAGTCTTGTCGCTTTGACTATTCAATTAAAAGGGAACTATTGTCTCACAACCTGCTTGTCACAGTCAGCGGCAGCCAGGAATAATTAGCTGTGCAGTTATGGATTTTTTTCATTGGTGCTGTTACTCTAGGTTTCATTTAAAGACATTATAAAATAATTCTACTGGGTAGGTACCTGTACTTGCCTAGTCTCTGAATGCCAACTGGACTGGGTATGTTGGTTATCTTCTGTGTTGTGTTGAAAGGGCTGCTGAGCAGAGACGATTTCATACTGTGAATATTTTAATTTAAAGCCTGCCATCCTAGGGAATGTTTTTGTCCATCACATTTTGAAATGACTGAGGTTTTGCAGGGCTGAGTTTTTCTGTCTTTCTCTTAAGTTTGGAAAATTATAAGAGATTGCTTCCACTCCCCACTTTACTCTTGCTCTCCGACCAGGCTGCCTGTCAGCACCCTGCTATGTCTGACTGGAGTGGTATTGTTTCCACACTAACAGGGATTTTCTCAGTAGCTTCTCTGAGAAAGCCTCTCATCAGAAATTCTTGAGATATTTTCCATTCAGGCATACCCTCTCTTAGATCTGGGGAAGAGGCTGTTTGGGAAGGACTTAAAGGCAACTTTTATCTTTCACTAACATCTATTAAGGTAAGTGTTCAGCTGGCAGCATCAGCAGAGGTCCATTGATTGCATAAATTGCAAAGCCTTCCCAGTTCTTTGTCAACAGCAGCATATTAGATAGCTCTCTCACCATGCACCTGTTCAGTATTTCTGTTTGATTTTTGTTTCTTTTTAACCATCTGTTACCTAATGTCTTGTCTCAGTGTCTCAGCTGTAATACAATCATAGCAGGAAAGTGAGAGATCGTTCAATAGGTGAGATGATGGAGCTTGTATAAAATACTCATAAGCTCCCTTGGTGATCAAGATCTTATTAACCCTTTCTTTAGGGGTTCCCTAGGTGAGAACTTCTCTAAGGGAGTTAATTTCAAGAGAGCCATCTCCTTTTCCCATTTCTACCTCCATTCTTGCCCTTCCCTTGAGTTTCTTTTGCCAGGCAGGAGTTCATCACAACTTCCTGCACAGGGCATGCCAGTGTGGTGCTGTGCTTGGCAGGCTGCTGCTGGGGTGTTTGAGGGAACTTCACTTCTCATCACACTGACTGCAGCTTCTGTCTCTCTGACAGTAACCTATCTTTGGACAAGGGGCTGGCATAACTCAGAACAGCTCCAAACTTTGAAGTTAGGGGAGAAAGTGACTTGAGAGGAGTCAGTAGACATTTCTAGTCATCTATTTCTGAACCAGCTTCAAAGATTTTTGGTCTGCAATGCTATTTTCTAATCAGTAAAACAGTATGTTTAACTAGGAAATTTTCCTATCGTCTTTGCTCAGACAGTGACCAGCAGCATAAATTTGCATGTGCCAAATAATAATGGGTGCTTATTTCGTAACATAAAATTTGCCTGTCCTCTCTGCTCGCACTGGCATCTTTTCAAATCACTACATTTTACAACATGAAAGAAAAAACCTTCTGTAGCATGAATTAGTCCTATAGTGTGATGAAAGCTTCAACAAATGCAGCTGAGGGAACATATGATCTTATGTCCTGGGCACTCGCTGCTTTTCACAGTTTTAAATAATCACAAAATGAGTTAGAAGTGCCTCTGGTAAACCACAGGAGTTAGAGAACTTGGTTTCTCCAGTTTGTCATGAGGTTTTTTGTGTGACCACAAGTGTATTGTTTATTCTGAACAAACCTGTCAATGCTGCTTTTGATTAAGGCCTGGCGACATAAGATTCAGTTCTCAATTGCTTGTAACTTAGCCAGACCTTAAGTGTTGAGGCTAAAATTTTGCATCCTAGGTATGGAATAAGATAAAAATAAAATGTGGGTTTGGTCAATGGCAAAAAGAAATCATTTGTAGCACCATTTGTGATCTGGAAGAGCACATCAGGCACGGGAACTTCTTTTGTCTCATAAAATCTTCTGGCTTTCCTGTTGGTGACCATAAAGTTTGAAGAAGAGATAGGAAGCTGGGTGCCAGGAGCAGCAGGGGCTCCCTGGGGTGTCAGGGAGCAGGACAGGACGGGGGACATTAGGGCAGCTCCAGGCATCGGGCACCTCTTTGGGGATGGGAACAAGATGAGGGTTTGGTCTGCTTTTTGAAGATGGCCCAGGCTGTGTTATGAAGAAGACATTGTTGATGGGCTGCATCTTTATTCTCTTTAAGCTTGTGTGGTGTGAGCTGGGCTGAAGGCAAGATAAGGGTTGTCTGTAATAGCATGTTAAGTGTCATCTGTCTCAGCCCATACATTAAGGAGCAGATGCAGAGATTCTTTGCTTTCTTTTTTTTTTTTGCTTGTGACAGTGAGCCAAAGCTCAGCATAGTCTTCTCAGAATGACTGTGATTACCAAGGTCTTGTGCCGAAAGTCTGAGATCTCAAAGTGTGTCGTAGGTATAAGGTATAAGAACAATAAAATAAGATTAATTAAAATAAAATAAAAGTTAATTCAGAAATACATGATGTAGTAGGAATTTTATGAAACTTCTAAAGTTTTAGGCACAGTGAAAGAGCATCCTGTAGGTGTGTTTTATATCCTCCAGAGAAGAGATATGAGTCGATACCATTTTATTTTTTAAAGTAGATTATAGAACAATTAGAAGATTAAAATCCCTTAAGTAGTGCAGAAAGGAAATCTGAGAGAGAACAGCCAGGAAGGTTTTTCCATGGACAATGGCAATGACATTGCATCACAGTGTGCCAGAATCGAGAGAATGATTTTAATAAAAAGTTCAGCAACTTTTTGCTTATTAAGGAACGTTTGCCCAGTGTTTTGGTTTCAGTGATTTCAAGATACAGTCTGTGGCACCTGATGATATAGTACACAATGGTTAGTATTGCCCCTAAGGGCGCTGTTAGTATGAAGGTTATTGTGTAGATAATTAATACCTGTCAAATGCTTTCTGTGCATGTGTGTACGTGTGTTTGTGTGTAAAGATAAAAAGTTTGATGACAAAGTTCTTTTAGCTCTCCTTGTTTAAAGCTGGCAGGCATGACAAAGTGTAATACAAACACAGCATAGTGCATACTTAAATATTCTGCCAGATACTTATTTATTGTGAGAGCTTTGAAAACGAAGCTCCAAAATAATCCTTTAAAAATTCAGAAAAGGAATTGTCAGTACTGAAGTTATGAATTAATTACACACTTGTCTGCTTATATTTTCATCAGCATTCTGAAAACTCAAGAAGTTGACAGGAGAAAGATGTTGCTTGAGATGCATGGGCTCTAATAAGCTGTTACAGGACAACAGAAACTGCAGCCTCTAGAAGCAGAAAAATTTGTATCATCACTTACAGTCCTATGTGAATGCCAAGTGATTAAATGCAAGGAATGAGTAATAATTTTGTTTTTATAATCTTGCATTTAAAAAGATAAACAAACTGAAAATCATTTTCTGTTTGATGCATCAGAACACAAAGGTAGCCACACTCATAATGCTTTTAAATGCTTTTTAAGGAATGGCTTTTACTCAAAGTGAAAATCAGCTTTTTCTTGGGAAAGAAGGAATAAGCTCTGTTAGAAGTAGTGTTTGCAAAAAAAAAGAAAAAAAAAGTAGCCTCCTGGTTTATTAAAACCAGAACATACTGATTCTTCTGCTATCTCTTTAAAAAGTTCTGAATGTATTCAATAGATCTGACAGGTTATTTCTCCCACTGCGGTTATAAAGGTTGCACACTTGATTAGGGGTGATGCATCGTATTTCTCTGCTTCACTAGAGCTCCTGATATTAACAGGATGCAGGAACGTATTTTCTGCAAAACACCGAGATGAGAAGCTAAAGGCCTTCAGTTTATGTCATCTTTCAAATGATTAGATCTGAATGACACTATTGTAATATTTTTTGGCTTGGTAATATCTTTTAGATTTATGCTTGCTTGGAGATTCTTACTCAAATCCTTGATTTAACTTTTCTAATATCACAGAGGAGAATATATTGTGTTTTATGTATGTGACACAAGGCACAAGTACTATGTATAAGAAATTAATTTGATGGTTAACATTATGATTAATTTTAGTTTTCAAGAAATAAAAGATGTGAAGAACGCTGGTTTTTAGAATGTTGTTACTTTTGAAATACTGCTTCCTGATAATGGTAATTCAAAACTCACTGAATGTTACAAAAGTCTCCCAAATAACATATTAAGAATATTTTAGAGTCTAAATGGATTCAAAAGTAGTGCTTATAATAAGAATGAAAGGAAATTATGTTCCAGCAGCATTTAACTGCTAAACGAGTGACTGTGGGTAAGGATTTCATGAAGTAGGAATATTTAATTATACTGGCTATAAATGGATAAACTTTCTGAATGGTAAATAAATACATTTTTAACAACTTGTGACTAATATTAATCTAAAATTAATGGTTAGCTAGTAAAACTATCAAGAAATTTGCATAAATGTTTTAAAAAAGGAATGTTTAAAATTCAGTGTATTTTTTTTTTTTTTTATGTCTACCACTATAGATTAAACAAAAGGTTTCTTTCATACCACATGTGCACCAGCCATAATATCTTATATTTATTATTTGCCATTTGCAACAACGGTGCTTTGTAATTAATCTCCAGTTTCCGCAATTTTCACTATAACTGGCTTTTATTAATGCTAATGAAGAAAGGGAGTTGGTAAGAAAGAGCATATTTTTTCTTTGCTAAAGCAATGTCACTGCTGGGGGGGCAATCTGTTGCATAATGCAACAGCAAATTGTTTCAATAGGATGTTTCCAGCAGAGCACTGAGCAGTGTAAAAGTTTAGGCCTATTCTTGTTTGATTGTACATGGCCATTTTGAAGTGTCAATTCTTCCTTTTTGTTTAAAACTGTTAATTCAGAATGAGCTTACAGAAGGAAATTTTATTAACTCATAATATGAAAATTACCATTTGTAAGAAAATTAATGAGTTCATTTTGGACATTCGTCTATTACAGTAAGATTGAGTCAACTGGTTTATTAGATTTATGAAACCTTTATTAGTCATCTTTCAGATCGGAGGAAATACAAGAATCTTCACTGCTTTGAAGTTAATGTTAAAGACTATCAGAGTCTTTTTGTATCAACTGGTTGAAGTTTTTATTTTATGACTTGCAGGTAGTGTTGTACCCAACTTCCAATAGCCCGAAGTCACCTGATCTGCATAAAATGATAGTCCCCAAAAACAGCCAGGACAATGACTTGAAAATTAAACTGGCGGTGAGAATGGATAAACCACCTCACATGAAGCACTGTGGGTAAGCGTCCATTTTCTGTCTTCCTGTATTTATTATTTTGCCTTGCTGTGCCTGTGTTTAACCTTACGCAGCTGAAAACATGAAGTTTGTTCAATGTTACAAATGTGTACAACTGTTCCTATCGTATGGCATTGTGCTATATCCTTGTTTTATACATAGAGTTTGGAATAGTCAGGAATGACATTCATTTCAGATGTTCAGTGATGTGTAAAGGCAGATGATGAGCTAACTCTGAGATGCAGAACTAAGAGTACAGTGTCATTCAGAAACTGGGTTTGAATGTTACAATTTATAGAACTTTAAAAAAAAATCCTTGATATTTAGGAAGAACATATTTTTCCATTACAATAGGATTAATTATATACTTGAATGTGATGGTATTGTAACATAGTCTCTCCTTTTCTTTCTCTGCATGGTATTTCTCTTGAAAGGAATTTATGTACAAAACCAGTTTAAGGTTTGACAAACCTTCAGTGGTTTGGTTGCACACCCCACATTACAACTATGTCAGGGATGTTGTGCTCCCAGACATCTATCCCAACAAGTAACTGGGAGAAGTCCCCATTTTTCATCAGGCTACTAAAAATGTTTGGGTTGTGCTGTCAGCGACCCCAAGTGTATAACATGGAATTTATTTTGACCTGGGTCTCCAGAAACGAGGACAAGGCTCCGATGCTTCTTCCCATTGTGCTCCCAGGTTTCCACAGAGGCTCTTGTGCCTGGGAGGCTGTCCTTCTGGGGTCTTCAAAGGGTCTTTCTAAACTCCTAGTTTGCTTTTCCACACTGGTTTAAGTTGCTAGTCTTCTTGTCTGGACATTACATGGATTGCCCAGTCCAATACTACTTTCAATAATTTAATTAAATTATTATCCCTTTCCTCTGCTGTTGCTCGTTACTTCTTCACATTGATTTTGAATCGTCATTTCCTGGCACAGTTGCTTACTTCTTCATTTCACTTCAGGGACACTGCTGTCACTATTCTCCAGGCAAATATTGTTGTTCTTCCCACCAAAAATGCTCCAAGTCCATCATCATTTCCCTTTCTTTATAGCCATTAGCTACAATTACCTATACGTTTGTCTAGAAAAGTTAGGGCATCGAGGGAGGGCTCTTCCACCTTAAATATGTCTGAAATGGAAAAAAAAAAAAGGTTAATAATTCCTCCAATAACCATTGAAAAAGTTGATGAAGTACTGTATGGTGGCACTGAAGTTGCAGTGAGAGGGCAGAAGAAGGTATTTGTTTGGAGGGAAAAAAAACACCTGTTAGAAGAATAATTAATGTGTACAGTCAGGAACTGTTAATGTTAAGAAATGTCGTCATTGAGGCATGCTCTGTAGCATTCTCTTGGCTTCCTGAGTAAATGTAAGTATTAAGTGGTCATTTGCTGTTTTTTCAAGAGGGATTCCCACCTGCTTCAACACACAGAGTGAAGCTGTTCTGGTTCCGAACTGATACTGTGTTATCAGAGAAATCCTCACTTGTGAAGAGGCTGTTAACACACGGTGGATGATGGACGGTATTACAGGAAGGCAAAGGAATATTTTGTGGTTAAGGTAGTTGGGGGATGCCTGGAAGAGCTGATTTTTATTCTTGTTTGTGCTGCTTAGAAGGACTTGTCTTATAAGAGCTTGAAAATGAGCTTTTCCACCTATAGTAATTGGTGGTAAGTTACTTCTTTCTTGTGCTGTTTGATAAACTGGGATCTGGTTTCATAGGGGCACCCAACACTCACAAGTACTAGGTGAAATGAGTGGAAACTGGGCTGTAAATATACATTGCACTGTTAGACTCCAAATATCCTAAAAATTAGATCTTCATCTAAAATTGGTGGTATTTCAGTTCTCCTGTTATGAAGGGAGAATAATGCCACCTCCCAGTGTTGTAGACATTTGAAGGTAAATCTTGAGAAAGCAACTGGTAGAAGTTTCCTACACACTTCAGGAGCTGGGGGGAAGTGGGGCACGGTCACTTCTCTAACACGTGGCCAAAGGCTTATGCTCTGCTGGGCAGGGTTATTGCAGTGTCAGGCCTCAGCAGCTCCCTGGTGAACCCCCACCAGGCAGAAAACCAAATAACCTGATTCCTCTATAAAGCAATGTTTGCGTAACATGCAATGAAATAGCCCGTAGGAGAAAATAAGGTGTTGAAGACCTGGAAGGCAGCTGCTGCTATCCTGAAGAATGAAAAGGGCTGGGAGGCTTTTGTTTATTTTATTTTATTTTATTTTATTTTATTTTATTTTATTTTTAATATGTGGACAGATATTTAAGCACAGTGTCATAGGGTACACAAAAAGGGAAGAAATAAACAGAGGAAAGAATGTGATTGTCCTCGCTGCTGGAATTTTGTCACGTTAGCAAGTTAAATTTTACAATCTTAGTAACAGACTTCTAATGTGATTAGTGTGATTATCCCAGTTGAGTTCTAATTCTTCATTTTATTTTACAGAAACCTCTCGTGCTTTATCTTTGCCCAATCTTTGAACTAGACAAATTACATCTTCTGTGTCAGTCTGAGTTAACAAGCTAATATACAAGTTTGATATTTGTCTCATAGGAGAAAAAGGCAATCTCTTGGCATTAGATAATGACTTTCAGCTGAGAATCTCAAAATCTATTCAAAGTTGAATTAAAATTTTACCCCACAGCCAATTGCAGAAAGAGGGGTTTTATTAGATTAATGCTCTATCATGATTAAAAAAAATAATAATGGTACTAAGAGACTGTTTTTTCAGATATGGGAGCTATGCTCAAATATTTCAAATTCTGCAGGGTCAGCAGAAATCAAAGACCCAGCAAAACCCACAGGCTCAAACTAATTGTGGGTTTACAGTTTTATTCAATCAGAAAAGTTTCTCCTTTTTAAGACTGACTTTACTTATTGACACAGGGGATGTGCTGAGAGACTTGAAAACCTGTCTCGCATTTATGCTTCAAGAATATTCAGTTTTACAAATTATTCTGCCTTGTACTTAAACTGAGATTTTAATTCACAAATAGTATTCTGACTGCAGCACCTTCAGATCATATTTCCCAGTTTCCACAGTCATAACAAGTAATTATATTTCAAATAAAATTATAAACTTGGCATTTTTTTCAATACAAATTGAGACCTAAGAAGAAATAAAAATCCTTATGACTCAACACTACTATGAATCTCAATTGCAGTTCATTTGTACCTCAGCAAAAAAGAGGTAGCTTTGATAACCACATGACTTTTACACATGTTTATGATGACACCTTCATACAGTTAGTGTTATTCCACTAATGTGATTTTTAAAAAAACATTTGACCAAGAAAACACTCAGTGATTTTTCTATATGTTCTGTTAAATGTTTAAAAAATAGAGAATACTTATATATGTCTTACAGTAAACATGATCTAATTATTTTAGGTTTGGTTGTTGGTTTTTTTTTAATTCTTGCATGAAAGGCTCTCAAAGTATGAAACAACCTCAAGGATATATAGCCATCCTTTCCTATTTAAACCCTGTCAGTGGATCACAAGGGGAAACATGCACAACTAGAAATTCCGAGTAATGACAAGGTAAACGTCATGCGTTGATGGGGATTTGTGCAACAGGCCCAAGTATTGGCAATTCATGGTACTTCAGATTCCTTTCTCATAATTTGTAATGTATTTGTTGTCTTCTCATAGAATGTGGTAACATTTTCCTGGTCTAAAATCCATAGCATATACAAGTTTATTTTTTTTTGTCCTTGATATTAAGGTAATAAAGCCAACATCCATACAAAAGGAGGTTTTGTAACAATTCTATTCATCTCTTCTTGAACCTAAAACAAACCATCAGAGGAAATAAGCAAAATTTGGTTTAGAAACATCCTGTATAAAATGCTAAAAGCCTGTTGATTTCTGTCGAGGTAGATGGGCAGCGTTAGGGAGGTAGCTTGCTTCAGGAAGGCTCACTTGGCTCTCTTTAACTCGTAATTAAATTAGTGTTGAAAACCCAAAGAGGACAGGTTAATCCACTCAAGATCGGTGGGTTACTGTAAATACCTTTTCTAATGCATGTTTGGTTATTTTTTTTTAATGTGCCTTTGCATATCCACATGTGTTTAAAGCATGTAGATTTTTAAAAGTAGATTTTGTGTCAGTTGAGTTGTCTGTTAGCATAGCCTAGTGGTTACTAAAGGGTATTATTCTATTGCTTCCAATCTAGAAAAAAAAAAAAAGAATACTGAGATTTTTTCAGATAGCTTGCTTTAAAAGGATTATAAAAGTTAAAATAAATAATAATGTACAATGGAATTCTTAAAAATTGAACAGCCTAAACAGGACAGTATTACAAAGTAGTGATATTTGAGTTTGACTTCTGAAGTAAAACATTTCAGATAGTTCTTGTCCGGAACTTTTTCCAAGATCTGAAAGGCAAAATTCATTTTTGTAAGTTCTGTTCTGCTTTCTGCTATGGCATGTTGCATATAGAATTCTTATACCTTTAATGTCATAAACATTTATGTTTGGAATATTCATTCTATAAACACTTGAGCATAAACATGCCTAGATTTTGTCCCTGTCCCTCATCTGTAAAGCAATTATTTTGACTACTTTTTAGAACTTGTGTTCTAAAGGATTGTAAGGATTGTCTGATTGTAAGGAATCAGTGTGACATCATTTTTCTCTCACAACTTACTGTTATTATTATTTTATGGGTGTATTTTCAGAATACAAAGATTACTATGAATTTGCTAACCTTTTTAAAAGTTTTCTCTCATGCCCTTGGAATGGACTGCAATGTTCTTAGGAGAGCATTAACAAACAATAAATAAAGCTACTGGTTCCTGTACGTGACTGAAGTATCACATTTCTCCTGCTGCTGCTGCTGTTTTAGAGCTAAAGAAAATCTGTGAGATGAATGCCCTGGTTAGCAGCCTTCCGAGATGCAGAATTAGAGGATAAGTAATTTTCCCCTTTCATTTTTATGACACTTGTCACCCATTGTTAAAAGAGTTCATTGGAGAGGAAGGCGAGTGTAAT